TTATGGTGGGGCTGTGGGATGAAAGGGCAGTGAGAAGTGCTGAGAGGGAAGAGAGAGGGGGGTGAAAAGCTGTATAAGTCACCCGGCTGGTGTGGCTCAACGGTTGAGCATTGACTTATGAACCGGGAGGTCGTGGTTTGATTCTCAGTCAGGGCACATGCCCAGGTTGCAGGCTCGATCCCCAGTGTGGGGCGTGCAGGAGGCAGCCGATCCGTGATTCTCTCTCATCATTGATGTTCCTATCTCTCTCTCTCTCCCTCTCCCTTCCTCTCTGAAATTAATAGAATATGTATGTATATATTTAAAAACCACAAATATGCATGCACACATATTCGACGTCTGTATTTGGACTAAGCAGGTAGGGAGGCACTCCTTTGAGAATCTGCCCACCCTGGAACTGAGCGCAAAGTGGAGCAGGGAGGTGCCCAGCTGCCCACCTTTTCTTCCCTACAGATCCCTGGAGCGGAGGGTGCCAACGATAAGGGCGGAGGCCTCATTGCACAGGGACCGACAGGAGGAAGGAGCCGGTGAGGTGCCCAACCCTGGAAGACCGGCCTGAGAACCAAAGGGCCGGCATTAGGCCACGGAGGAGCAATCTCGGGAATAGACTGTGGACAAGCGCTGCAGGCCAATCCCCCCGCCCCGCTCCCCCGTGGAAACGGTGGGGTGCAGAGGACCCCTCCAGGGCCCAGCCAAGAAGCGCGCGGGGCTGGCAGTTCCCCCCTCCGCCACAGGGGGCAGCACCGCCAGCCGGCGCGACCCCAGGGGTGCGCGCTGCCCCTCTTGGCGGCGCAGGCGGAGGCGGGCCCAGTGGGAGTCCTCGCTGATTGGCTGCGGCGCGGGCGCTGCCATGTTGGCGGAAGCGGTGTCTCCCCGACCGTGGAAATTGATCGTGGCTGCAGCAGCCGTGTCCGTGGGCGCCGCCTCCTGCTTCTTGTCCTCGCTCGGATCTGGGCGCTGAGAGGCGGCGGCCGGCGCGATGGAGAGAAGCCGGATGAGCCTGCCCACGGGGCCGGACACGCTCTGCTTCGACAAGGACGAGTTCATGAAGGTGCGGGGCGCTTCTCCCCGGAGCCGGGGCCGGGCCGCGGGGGCCCGCCCTCCTCTGCCCTCCGCCCGGGGCCTCCCCCCGGGCTCCGGCCCGCGCCCCGGAGCTGGGGACCTCGCTGTCCTTGGCAGTGAACGAGCCTCTCGGCCTCAGGCGTGGCGGGTGGCGCCTGGAGGAAGCCCGTCTGTGAAATGGGGCTTTTGGGTGGAAAGGCCTGAAAGTTCTGAGCGCAGCGTCCGGTCCCTGCCGGTCCCTGGTCTCTGGTCCCCCTCCCTGTGCAGCGCAGGCAGATGGCCGGTCCCCTCGCCGGATGGAAGCGTGGGCACCGGTGTCCTGCCCCCCGAAGATCAGGAATCCCGTCCTGAGCAAATCGCTGAGCCCACGTGCCTCCCAGGGTCGGGTCAGAAAGAAAAGGCCCCTCGTCCGAAAGCTTCTGGAACGAGACTTTTAAAAATACATATATTGATTTCAGAGAGGAAGAGAGAGGGCGAGAGAGCTAGGAACATGAATGATGAGAGAATCCCCGATCGGCTGCCTCCTGCACGGTCCCCACCCCCACCCTCACCCCCATTGGGGATCAAGCCCGAAACCGGGCATGTTCCAGGCTGGCCGGGCTGGAATGAGACATTTTAAAACGAGTGGGATATTCTTTTTTTTTTTTTTAATATATTTTATTGATTTTTATAGAGAGGAAGGGAGAGGCTCTGATAGAGAGTTAGAAACATGGATGAGAGAGAAACACCGATCAGCTGCATCCTGCACGCCCCCTACTGGGGATGGAGCCTGCCATCGGGGTCCATGCCCTTGACCAGAATTGAACCCGGGACCCTTCAGTCCGCAGGCTGAAACTCTATCCACTGAGCCACACCGGGAGGGCAGAGTGGGATATTCGTACTCTTTTTCTCATGTTGCCCTGCCCTCTGGATGAGGGGAACTGGAGGCGGGTGTGTAGGCCACTGTCCTATATAATAAAAACTTAGGATGCAAATTGTCCCTCCACTGGGATTTCGACCAGGGGGTGTGGCCTGCCAGGGGAAGGGAGGGAGGTCCTGACCTGCTGCAGCTGCAATAGCAGATGGCCTGGGGGAAGGGAGGGAGTACCCAGCCTGCAGCCACTAGGGACCCTAGCAGTGCATAGATTTCGTGCATCGGGCCTCTAGTAGGACATAGACATACAGAACGGAGGTGTCAGCTGAGACCATGTTACTGGTCATAAAGGGTCTGCAGGCACCGCCGTGAAAGCGTTCAGGATGTGATTCAGAGCCGCTCCGGTTGTATTCTCAGGAAGACTTCGACGTCGATCACTTTGTGTCCGACTGTCGGAAGCGCGTCCAGCTGGAGGAGCTGAGGGATGACCTGGAACTCTACTACAAGCTGCTGAAGACCGCCATGGTCGAGCTCATCAACAAGGACTACGCGGACTTCGTCAACCTCTCCACAAACCTGGTAACCGAGACCCACACTTCCTGCAGCTGGTGTACTGACACCCACACTGCCAGCCCAGGTTTCTTCTTAAAATGCTGAGCGTTTTAGAAATCTTTTAGTTCATTTTCCTCCCCCTCAGAAACTTAAAGAGATTACTAATCTCATTCATGAATAAAAGAACTAAACTTTCTTTTTGTTTTCATTTTTTCTCATTTAAGACTGTTTTAGTTTGATTATTTTCCTCAAAGGTGACAATCATGTTTAGAAGAGCTAGAGCCCATCCATCAGACTTTCACACCAACTATACTCACCTCTCATTAAAATGTTTTTCAGATTCATTTAAAATTCCATCCAAAGGCAAATGGTGCATAAAGAAGCGTTCATTTATTAGGACTTCCCTTATTTATTGGTTCATGTGTATCAGCAGATTGTTTTTCTTATTCTATGAGCCATATTTATGGCAAAATGACATTGGTTATTTAGCTAGTTGCTTAGCAGTATATGGCTAGACAGAGAGAGTAACTACGTCTAGTGCTTTGCTCATTAAACAGATACTTCACTCTGACCCCTGCCTCTGATGTGTGTGTGCGACATGATTTCGCTTGCAGGTTGGCATGGACAAAGTCCTCAACCAGCTCTCGGTGCCTTTGGGACAGTTACGAGAAGAAGTCCTGGTAAGTCCCCCAATCCCCTTGCACAGTCCACCGTCGAGTATGCGATGCTTGTCCTCCCGCAGGAGCTGCTCTCCTCTCGCAGGTGGTTCAGTGGTCCATGACTAGCAACCACTGGGCCACTCCGGCCAGGCTGTCCTGTTGATTCTAATTGTTCTCCTTACCTTCGTTTTGGACCTAATTTCTATGATCTCATACGTGGCTTGATGCATTAGCTGCTGGGCGTGTTTCTCCACCTGTCCCATGACCTCTCCCTTTTCCTGGCCCTTCTGTTTCTTCTTGCTTCCTGATATTCCCAAACCAACATTACATCGTGGTATATGAGCGCTTAAAAATTTTTTAGTTCTCTGAAATGTATAGACTCTAGTCTAAGACCTTATCTGAATGAATTCCTCCTAAGTCAACCCCTTCCTTTCTATTTCTACTTCTCTCCACAACGAAGCCTGCAGTGCCCAGGTGGATGCCTCCCCGCCCCAAGTATGTGGTACTCACTTGTATCTTTCTACCTTTTGTCTTCTAATAATCGCCCCTCCATGCAGGTCAGCCTGCACAGGTGCGGAACTCCAGTCCCATCCCCCCACTAAACCCTCCTGTACTCGGATTCAGACTGTCCTTTCTCTACCCTGACCATCGGCGACAGTCACTGTAGATTATTCTTTTGGCCATTAATCCTCTGTGACCCTCGTTTCATATGTCATTTTGCCCCCCAAATCAATAGCAGTTGTGTCTGAAACTTTGTATTTTGTCAATATCTGTATAATACGGGCCTGTCGATACTGGAATTGAATTAATCATGTAAATTTGGTTCAGTTCTGTGGAATTGAATTAAATGTGTAGAATGTCATGAAACCATTTCAACAGTGCATTTCCTTTATTGTTTTCAAGAGTCTCAGGTCATCTGTCAGTGAAGGAATTCGGGCAGTAGATGAACGAATGTCTAAACAAGAGGACATTAGGGGAAAAAAGGTACGTAAAGTGTCATACAGCACCTTGCAGCCTGGACTTGTGACAGACAGCACCTAGAGGGAAGGCACTGTCATGCGTGTGGCTGGTACACTCCGGGCACCTTTGTAGTGGACACATGCAGCCTCTTCTGGGTCTAGTAGCTGAGCAGGGCTGGTGAGGGCCGGAGCCAGAGCTGGGCCCAGGCTCCTCGCTCCTGGTCTGATTAAAGAGAGGTGCGGTAAAGTCATGAAATGTGTTAAAAGACAGAAAATCTGCAGTCTTCTTATGCTTGAATTTAGTTGTGGCAGCGTTAACATTTTTAAAGAAATGTAGATTTCATGGGCTGCATGTCAGCTAAAAGCCCTCTCATCCTCTCTTCTCATGGTTTTCATTATGAGGAAATTGCTTTTTTCCTCAAAGTTTTCACATATATATGTATATGCAGCATCATGTCATGGTATCTAGTTGAAATATGACAAAATTTTAGGGGTACCCAATTGGACACAAAATTAAAATTGTGTCCAGAATGAGAAACAAATGTAACTGACCTCAATGAGGCATGTGACAGTTCAATAAGCATATGATTGCTCAGCACGCCTACAGAGAAGGTGCCGATGTTTCAGAGATGAGGGGGTAGGGCTTTCTAAGCACATTTCAGTGTACTGCAGGCTGATTGTTCTAGAAAAAGTAGTGTGTGATGCTCTTACTCTGCTACTTTTATTACTTCTGTTTCCCCCTCCCCCTTTATGCCTTTACGTTTTACTGGACCTGGGTTTTAATTTTATTTTCTGATTTACTTGTAATCATAATGGTATAGTAGCTGAGTTGGAATTAGGATTCAAGACTTCTGACTCTAGCCTGGTCCTCCTGTATTTTCTAAATGTATGTATTAGCATTAGGTTTCAGAGAGGGAGAGAGAGAAGCATCCGTGATGAGAGAATCATGGATCGGCCGCCTCCTCCATGCCCCCCACTGGGGTGGAGCCCGCAATCCGGGCATGCGCCCTGACCGGGAATGAACTGAGCCCCCGGCGGCTATGAGCATATTTTTTAAAATGTCAAGGGGAGAAGCCTATTTGAGACCTTCTGTTTAATTCTTTAGATGTCCTCTGAACTTTTGCCTAAAGATTCCCAGAATGCAATGCATTTCTAGAAAAGATGATAAGCTTCATGAGAGCAGGGAATTTTTCTTGTTTATTCACTCAGGTCCCCACCTTCTAGAAGAATGTGTGGCTCACAATAGGTGGTCAGTAACTATCTGTTGAATGAATGACCTTGTATCTTTTTATTCTTTTAAGGATGAGAGTTTTATAATGTTCCTCAACCTCTTTGATAATATTTGTTGTGTAATGTATTTAATGAATTGACACATTAAAGCATGAACAAAAGGGTTATAAGAAAATAAACGTACCAGTAGAAAGGTTCATTTAAGATGGGGAAAAGAAGGAAGGAATAAGAAAGAGTACAGAGCATGAGAAAGCAAAGAAGTCCAGTTTCTTTCTTACAATAACCTTGCAATAGAAGGCTGAAATATGCTTGTAGAAAGAAAGCCAGAATTAAGATTTGCATTCTCGCAAGTTCAGTGTTACATAGACATTCAAAACGTAGGATGCATAGGATGCTCCCAAGAGTCTGCGTTGACTGTTGGCTTTTTATTTTCCTGCAGTTAACCTGAGGAAGTAAGACAATTCAGATTAAACATCATAACATGTTTTTGCTTCATTTTAATAGATGTGTGTGTTGAGGCTTATACAAGTTATTCGATCGGTTGAGAAAATTGAAAAGATCTTAAATTCCCAGAGTTCTAAAGAAACATCCGCACTGGAAGGACACAGGTAACTCTTTTTTACGAAATCGCACGTCAGTTAACGCTGCACACCGGGGAAGATGAATGTCCTCTCGCTAGGACCAGAGCATCTAAACTCCTCTCAGCCATTCAGTACATGGAAATGTAAAGGAAGCTGTTTTGAAGTATTTTATTTGTTGCTCCTAGAAGGTTAGTTTGATTTGCCGAAGGAGACAACAGTATTTGGTGATTGAGAGGAATTAGATGTGCTTTTATAGAAAAGGTGTGAATAAGAGGAAAGGGCAAGAGGAGAGAAGGGAGGTTAAAGGGAAAGAAAGAGGTTAAAGGTGAGTGGGAGAGCTGGGGGAAGGTGGTGGGAACAGACAGGAGCTGCACCCCCACTGATCGGCTCCGCCTCCAGCTCCGGCTCTGGCTCCGGCTCCGGCTCCTGTCTGGCCCTGAGGCCCGTGGCCAGGCAGCATCGGCTCATGTAACTTCCCCACTGCACCTACTACGCGCTGTACTGTGGCTCGTGGTGAAGACGATGGCACAGAGGGTGCTTTAGCTTCCACCTTGGACCAGGAGGGTGTGGAAAACGAGAAAGTTCTAGCAAGTGGTGCTCCAGCATCCCCACCACTAACCATGTGGTGTGTCCTCTCAGAAATGAACAAACTTCAGGAATCACGTTTCTGCCCTTGTCTCTACTAGCCCACTTCTGACGGGACAGATTTTGGAGAGAATCGCCACAGAATTTAACCAGTTACAGTTTCATGCTGTTCAAAGCAAAGGCATGCCTCTTCTGGACAAAGTAAGACCAGTAAGTGTTGTTTTCTGTTCTCACAGATGGTAGCTGGGACTTTGCTAAATAATTTTGGTTTAACCTAGTAATGCCCCTGGCAGTTGTTGATCCACAGGGTTTTGAAGCTAGCTTTGCATTTTTTCTTTCATTTTTTTGTTTTTTAGACCCCTGCTTCCTACACGTCATGCATTATAGCTTTTGTGTAAAGACACAGGCATATTCTCTGAATTGCAAGAGTGAAGTTAATTGTGAATTTCACGTAACTTGACACTTTCTATGATTCAGTCAGAGTTCCATTTATCCAGAGCCCTTGACTAGACTTTAAATTCAGGTGTTTGATTTACACTGTAGCTTAAGGGGAAAATAACTGTTTTTCTCGTTCTGTAATTCTAACCCCGCCTTTGATGATAAAGGTTTACTTCTAGAGATTGTGGGGCGGAGGATAGAGTCCCTGTGGATCTTCAGGAAAGGCTCGCATGTCCATCTTACACACATGACCTTCTGTTAGAATACAGGGGTCACGTGTGTGTTTGGACTCCCAGGCCCTGGTCCCGCCAGAGCCTTGCTGACCCCTGTCTCCTTGCAGCGGATCGCGGGCATCACGGCCATGCTGCAGCAGTCGCTGGAGGGCCTCCTGCTCCAAGGGCTTCAGACGGCGGATGTCGACATCGTCCGGCACTGCCTGCGGACGTACGCCACCATCGACAAGACCCGCGACGCAGAGGCCCTCGTCGGTCAAGTTCTGGTGAAGCCGTACATGGACCAGGTCTGTGATCTCAAGGGCTCTATTCCACCAGCATCACAGAGCATTTACTCCGTCTCCTAGACTCCACTGGGCGCGAGGCCAGATCAGCGAGCTCTCTGTAGAGGCGCGTGTCTACTACAGTATCAGGTGTAGAAAAAGGCTGGTCCCTGGTGGTTAAATCAGCCGGGAATCGGCTTGCTCGCCTGTATTTTCTAATGATGCCCCAGACCAGGGGTCATCTTCATTTGGTGGGGGTGAGGGGCTGGCCTGGGAGAAAGTATGCATCAAAGCATTTTGAGGTCAGTTTTGTGGGATGTCAATTATACGTCAATCAAGTTACTAGGCAGCAGTTTTGAACTGGTCTCGGGTTGAATAGAGCAGCCCAGTGTGTGAGCCGGGAGGAGCGGGTAGGTAATTCTGAGCGTGGAAGTGAGATTTGGCTCAAAGTCTTTAAAAACATGGAGGGTTGACCAGGCCAGAGAGATGGGAGGGAGGGAACGTTCAAAGATGGAGGACTTTTATAGGCAGATTGCCGAGGGAACTGCGCACGCTCATCCCAGGAACCAGTTTTGATGCAACGACTATTTACCTCCCATTTAGAAAACATGTCCGTTAGGGAGGAGGATGGGTTTTCTCAATTCTTTCCTTTGTGGTATATAGTTCCTACGTCTCTTTTAGGTGCTTTTTGAAAATGCTCTTTCTTTTAACAGGTGATTATAGAGCAGGTGGTTGAGTCACATCCAAATGGCCTGCAGATCATGTACAACAAGCTCCTGGAGTTTGTCCCTCACCATTGCCGCCTTCTGCGGGAAGTCACAGGAGGGGCCATCTCAAGGTACTTGTCTACTGGGTATAATGACTGCACCTGCTGCCTGGTGCATGCTGATAAGGGGGTGCTAGAGCGCACCTCGGTGTAATGACTGCACCTGGTGCACGCCGATGTGGTGGTGAGTTCTGCCTAGACCACAGCAGTAAAGCGAATGTTGCAATAAAGCGAGTCACGTGGATTTTTTTGGTTTCCCGGTGCATCTAAAAGTTACGTTACACCATCCTGTAGCTTGTTAAGTGTGCAACAGCCTTATTTCTAAATAAGTGTACCTGCTTTAACTGTAAAATACTTTTGCTAAACAATGCTAACCACCATCTGAGCCTTCAGTGACTCTTAATCTTTTTGCTGGTGGAGGGTCTTGCCTTCAATTTGTAAAAAACAAGAAGCGCAGTAGAATGAGGTCCAATGAAACGAGGCTTACCCGGTCTCCATGGAACTGTCCCCACAGCGCTGCAAGGCGGGCATCGATAGCCTCCTTCTACAGATAAGAACCTAGTAGATGGAGCTGAGGGTGACGGTTAGGACGCCTCGCATCCAAAGCCCAAACTCTTTCCTTCTCCCCCTTGGCTTTTTCTTAACTTAGTTCGACATCAGTGTTGGTTGCCTTCTATTATTCGAATGGCATAATCTATCTAGAACTACCAATTCAGTTAAACTCAGCAGGTTTTATACTGATTGTGATTGAAGTCGTTTTCAGTTTTTCCTCCTTTAATTCCCATGACTTCCCAGTTCCGTTACATAAATACCCCATTACCTGTCACCACGGCCACTGGCCCAGTCCAGGCCTCTGTCCTCTGTCCCCAAAGTAACAGGCTCTGCCCACTTGCTCTCCCTGCCTCCACCTTGTCCACTCGGTCCAGCCTCGCCTTTCGCCTTCACCCAGAAGTCTGAGCTTCAGAGCCTCGCCTTCTTCATGTCGGTAGTGGCGTCTCGCTGCTTCTAGAGGAAAACGGGGCTTTGTGATGCAGTCATAGAACCTTAGAACTGAGGCAATCTTAGAGACAGTTCAGAAGCGACAACGCTGTTAGTCATTGGGAAATTAACGTAATTGGTGTTCAGGTTGAGTGCAAAGATCTCTTTTCTTGTGGTGGCAGACCGCCTCCTTTCTAAGATCGAGTGTGGATGTGGTGTCCTACTTTAAGGGGGGAAATTGTGCCCAGGCCACTTGGGTGGTGGTTTTGCCTTATCCTTGACACCAGCTCCCTCTACAATGCGTCAGGTTCAGGGTGAGTCTGAGTTTAAGGCGTGAAATAGAAATGTGGGTGGAGAAACAAACTAACTGACAGTTTTTAAAAAAGGAGTTGAAATAAGTTTTAGGCTGAGGAACTTGTAGTAAAAGCACCACAGTAGAATTTTGCTCTTTGTACGTAGAAGATGATAGTGTATTTGACTGCAATTTTGCTCTTTCCTTACAGCGAGAAAGGCAATACTGTTCCCGGATATGATTTTTTGGTGAATTCGGTCTGGCCGGAAATAGTACGAGGATTAGAGGAGAACCTGCCCTCACTCTTTAACCCCGGGGATCCCAATGCATTTCACGAGGTACCTGTCCCTCCTTCGTTTTGACTCTTGAAGATGTTAACCTGAGGTTTCAGAGCAATCATGTTGTCTTCTGCACATAAAGTAAAATTCAGTCTAAACGCAATTGTGATTAGATATGTACATTATTTTCAAAGTGAAAAAAAAAGATCCTAGTACCATTGAAAGCCCTTTTCTTTATAATTGTCCATGAAAAAGTTAAGTTTTTCTGCCTCTACTGTGTAATTGTGAAGGAAAACAAAAACTATTGATTTAGACTTTAAAATGTATATAATTGTCCTATATAGTTTAAAAGATTAGAAGACCCTAAAATGTACTGTTTTCTTAAAATCATGTTATCATTTAAAATATTTCATGGTTTAGATTTCAAAAGTAAATTTAACTTTACTTTTGAAATAAAAAAAAAAGTACATTTATTTTTTGTTGTATCATGTTTTAAGGCAATGCATAGGGCCACAGTGAAGGATAAGGCTCCTGGGCCAGCGGCCTGAATTCCTGGCCCAGCGCTCCATCTCACTAGCCTCTTGGGGCCTCTCTGCCTTCTCCTTCCCTGGATTTTAGTTTTTTTTATTCAATATGACAGTCTTCGTCTTTTCATTAGGTAATTTACCAAATGTATAATGACCGATTCATTTGGGTCTATATTCCTGTTTGTCCCTCTTTTCTTCCTTCCTTTTCCCCCTCCTTTGTGTTGTGTCTTCCCTTCTTTTTCTAATCGGCCTGGTGAACTTGATTATTTTTAAAGTGTAGAGAGGCAAAAGGTAAGTGTGGTTTGAGCCTGGGGCCTGGTAGACCTTCATTGTCCCAGAAATATCACTCATCTGTCCTCTTGGCTAATTGTTCCATGTTATAGGACATTGACAATGATTTCTGTGATTTAAAAAGTAGATACCATGGGCAGTGTGAAATAATTGTCCTAAGCATTTGCAACTTACGAGCCTTTATAGTTTGCTGTGCTCCTTAGAGAATCATATTGATCACATTATGATTTGTTTCAGCTCAGAAATGAAGCTTTCTGGAAAAAGTTTGCCTTTAGAATCCTTTCCCAGTATTTAATGTTTGTGGCGTAGTGTCCAGCAAGCATCTGTTCCTTTCAAGAAATGCTTTCAGCGTCCAGTTTTAATGTGACCTGCTTCCCTCGCAGAGGGAAATGTTCTGTATTCTATTAGCATCCATTAGATCCTGAGGTGTAGTTTCACCCTGAAAGAGATGAATAACAGCTTTCTTGGCCTCAAGTCCACACACCTGACCATGCTCAGGGGGTTCCACAAGGACCTGTAGTGCTCACTGCACTGAACCTCCTGTGGAAGCTCAGGCCTCAGCGTATTGAGGCGAATGGAGCCCCTCTTCCCTGAGAAGGAGGCATGGAGAGGCCAGGGTGTTCCCCCCGGAGCCTGGGCGCCTGGGGAATAGCACATCCCTTCCAGCAGCCCCGGGTTTTGCTCTGTTGACTTTCTCTTTCTCAGCTTTGTCTTTGGGCGAATTCTCTCTGAGCCTAAACAGAAGAGGAAACATCATCTGTAAAGTGGGGGGTGATGATAATGGCAGTTGCCTCCTAGGGTGGTTTTGTGGGTTAAATTAATAACCGATGTCAGCACAGTGGGCGGATGGTAATTGCTAAGGAAGTGTGAGCTGCTGCTCCTCTGCGGCTGTTACATCCCTGTCACTTTTGCTGCTGTCTCGTCTATAAAAATGATGTCATCACTCACATGGTTGATTCTTTCCTTTTTAAAATTTTGCACTTCTTCTGGAGAGGTGATGGAGGCTGTACTGCTTAATCTGCGGTCTCATCAGCTCCAGGGACGGGGTGAGGGGTGGCCTAGAGGGTGAGAGCTGTCACGTAATGAGCACGGCTCTGCAGCACCCGGGTGTCCAAGTGGACTGGCCACGGGAGACCTTGAGCACGCCACGGGGCCACGCGGGCCTTGCCTGGGCTTTACGTGGGGACTGAAGGGAGGTCCCTTGGGCCCCAGTCAGCTCTAGAAGCTGTGGTTCTGTGCTGCCCTCCTTTATCTCAATCACAGGTTTTATTTATTTATTTATTTATTTATTTTTTAAAATATATTTTATTGGTTTTCCACAGAGAGGAAGGGAGAGAGAGATAGAGAGCCAGAAACATCGGTGAGAGAGAAACATCGACCAGCTGCCTCCTGCACATCTCCTACTGGGGATGTGCCCGCAACCCAGGTACATGCCCTTGACCGGAATCGAACCCGGGCCGACACTCTATATCCACTGAGCCAAACCGGTTTCGGCTCAATCACAGGTTTTAGTAGATGCTCCCAATTCCGGGTGTTTGCAGTGAAAATGCCACCTGCTTGTTCTTATTTTAGAAATACACCATCAGCATGGGCTTTGTGAGGGCATTTGAACGGCAGTGCGGATCCCAGGCCAGCGTGAGAAGACTGCGAGCGCATCCTGCCTATCACAGCTTCAACAATAAGTGGAACTTGCCTGTTTATTTTCAAATACGGTCAGTAACTCATTCCCCACCCGCCTCACCTTCCTAAGAGAATTCGAATACCAGCTAAGCATGTTGGGGCCCCCTGTTCACAGCCTTTTCTTTGTGATCATCATACTATCCCTTGGGAAACAAACTTTCCAGTGGAAATGTACAAGAAATATCACGAGTGTCAGCATTAGGCTTGCATGACGAGATAAGGTTGAGTGTTTGGTAACCAGCGAGCTGAGAACTGACACGGAGCAGGTTGGACTCCAAGCCCAGCTTCACCCCCACACGTTCTCTCGTTCACCGTGGGAGAGAGGGCGTGGGAGTGGGTGGCAGCTCTTCCCTGCCGCTGTCCCTGTCACGTCAGCTGCCTCCACGAGTGGCCTGTCCACCGCTGTCGCTTCTGCTCCTCTGTGCCAGGTTCCCCTCAGGGCGTGGGGGGAGCATAGCGCGAAGTGCTCTTCCAGCGGATTCTGTCTTCCCGGTTACGAGAGTCCTGGCTGTTATCTTGGCTCCTTTATCAACGGTGACACTGGTCTCTCTGGTCTGGAAAGCGGGGCCACTTTTCTCCCCGACGCCCCGATGCTGTCGCCTGTGTCAGTGAGCGGCTCTATCACCTGCCCGGGAGCTTGATCATAAACCCAGCAACGTGGGTTCCACTGGGAAAGCAGATGGTAGCGGCCATCTTTGCAGGTTCCCCTGAATGAGGTCATGGTCAGCTCCCCCGCGGAACGGCATTAACTAGAGCCTTTTGGTCGAAACGCTCTTTAAAGAATCATAGCTTTTTGTTTAGATTTTTTATGCTTTCATTAATTGTGATGCCGTCTTTTTCCCCAGAGCGCTGAGGAAAAATTACAGAGAGGGAAATGGATTACGAATTAGGTGCCTTGATTATAATTGCTCACCGTGACGGGAATGTATGGAATCACCTCTGATAATGAAATCACAGCTTTCAGAATGTTAGCCAAGTGCGCTTGCACATACGTGCAGTCCTGTGTGTTATGCTGCATGTGTCCGGCTTACATCGTGTAGCTTATCTTGTGGTGGGAAAGCAAGGCCTTGCCCCTCTAAGGTGTTAGTGGACTGCATTGCAGAGGTTTGATGATCGGGATCAGGCCGGGCAGGAAGCCCTTTGCTTCCTGAGCAGAGCTGAAAAGAGGGAAGCATCATTTGACAGGCTAAGGCTGCCACCGGCAAGTGCTGTTGGGATCTGGCCGGTTCTTTTGTCGTCCGTGCCTGGAGTTAGATGCCGTCATAGCACATCCTGCTGTCTACTGCCTGCAAGCTCCTCTTTTTTTCTTCTTGTTTTCTTTAAAAAAAAATTTTTTTTTTTTTAAAATTTCAGAAAGGAAGGGAGAATGAGAGAGAATCATGGATCGGCTGCCTCCTGCACACCCCACACTGGGGATGGAGCTGCAACCGGGCATGTGCCCTGACCGGGAATCGAACCGTGACTTCCTGGTTCACAGGTTGATGCTCAACCCCTGGGCCACTCAGGCTGGGCAAGCTCCCCTTTCCTATCGTTTCCCCGGACCCCGCGGCCCCTGCTTAGGAATCCTGCACTGTCACCCATGTCCGGGCACTGCCCTGGGCTGTTGTGTAAAAATTACTTTTCAGATATGGAACTTGTTCTCAATACATTTGTTTTTCCGTTTAAAAAACAAACTCAGGTAGTACTTTGTAGGACTCTCCTATTGATTTCTATCAGGTGTTGAGTTGTTTACCCCGAATTGTGACATGAAATCCTGCAAACATGGCTGGGGTCAGAGTTGTGCTGTTATCTGACTCACTCACCTTGGGGTCATTTGAAAGAAGGAAGTTTCAGAACCAGTGGGATGGGAGTGTTTGACATGTCGCTAAGGAGAAGTATTCCCATTGCACTCTTAGTAACAGGGTGTGCGCCTGCATCCGACTGTGCACATGCCCCCAGCCCCACTACCATTCTTGTACTTAACCCTAACCCTAACCCTAACCCTTCCCCTTCCATTTCTCCCCAGCCTTCTCCTTTTAAGGAGCACGTGATTGCACCCAGATAATCCAGGATCTTGTCCTCACCTCAGGGTCTCATTGAATCCCACCTGCAAAGCCCTGAGGTCACGGCCACGGGCTCCAGGGATTAGGACCTGGGTATCGTCGGGCTGTTACTCTGGGCCGCCCTCCGTGGCCCCGGGTGGAGGAAGTCCCTGGTGCCAGGAAGAAGGGAATGGACAGGGAAAGGCATCAGCAGCAGCAGAAACACTAATTCGAGCTCTTGTTTTATCCCAGGTTCAGAGAGATCGCGGGATCCTTAGAGGCAGCTCTGACAGATGCCCTGGAAGACGCTCCAGGTAATGCCTTCAGGTGGTGAATGACAGGTCCCCGGGGGGGCTCGGAGCTCACCATCTCGACCCGATCCCCGAGGGCACTTGCACCCTTTCCTGGGATCCAGGAAGCTGGACCTTAAAGACTTCCTGTGACTGACTGGCCTTTTTTAGAGACAAAAAGAAATCAAATACTGTGGTTCCTATGGTTTTTTGCTTTATAGAGCTAATAAGAGGCTGCTGTAGGAATATAGGGAGCAGCCCTCATGTTTGTTCCTGAATATCACATGCTGAGGGGACGTAGCCCCTGGTTGCCAAGTGATCAGCCCTTTTTATAGCAAACTGGCTACGTGCTGCCAGAGGTGACACGCGTGTCATAGGTTCGCCATCACTGGCCTAGATTGCAGCCCGAATTGACCGAGGCGCCTGCCCCCGCGTGTGCTTTCCCTGCAGCGGGGAGCGCCTACTGCCTGCTGGCGTCTCACAGGACGTGGAGCTGCCTGCAGAAGTGCTGGTCGGAGGAGCTGTTCCTGCCGGCGCTGGCGCATCGGCTGTGGAGGCTCACGCTGCAGGTGTTGGCGCGATACTCCGTGTTCGTCAACGAGGTGAGCCCGGCGCGGGGCTTTAGAGATACATCGAGCTACTAAGGCAGTGATGGCGAACCTCTGACACGCGTGGCAGAGGTGACACACGAACTCATTTTTTGGGTTGATTTTTCTTTATTAAATGGCATTTAAATACATAAAACAAATATCAAAAATATAAGTCTTTGTTTTACTATGGTTGCAAATATCAAAAAATTTCTATATGTGACACGGCACCAGAGTGAAGTTAGGGCTTTTCAACATGCTGACACGCCGAGCTCAAAAGGTTCGCCATCCCTGGCCTAAGTACACTGAGATGGAAACGGCCACGCTGCCGTGAGAGGGGAGTTGGATGGTGGACGCTAGCATTTCCCGTGACTTCCCGGCCCACGTATGTGAGTCCATGGAGCTTCCTGGTGGAGAGTGTGTGACCATGGAAATCCCGTTTCAGCTTCTGCTCAGGCCCATCTCGAATGAGAGCGCCAAGGACGTTCGGAAACCTCTGGGAACTGCTAGCAAAGATGCTCCCGCTGCCCCGGGAAACAGCGAGGACCCGGGCAGCGGTCCTTCCGAGGCGAAGCCCGTGGCTTCCATCTCCAGCACGCAGCTCGTGCACGCGGCCGCCGACCTGGCCCGGCTGCAGGAGCAGGTAAGCCCGTGTCCCAGATGCCCGGTGCTCGGGCAGCGGCTCCCCAGAGAGCGTGCCCACACTGACAGCAGCCGCAGGGCTGCAGACCCGCGGGCCCAGGGACCCAAGAGAACACCTCCCGCATCTCCCCTCACCCAGCCTTCCTGGCAGCCGCTCTCCCGCCTCCCTCCCGCCGGGTCTGCGGCTTTTCCAGGGATGGCGTCCCAGCTCAGCGTGAGCGGCTCCCCAGTTCTTTTTCATCCACTCCACTTCCTGTGCCGGCCCGATCTGTGCTGGGCTGGATTTTAATTATTTCCATTCAAGAACCCCAATACTTCTTAGTAACATTTACTCTTCAGCTCTACTTTGAAAATCCTGAACTATTCTTTTTTCCCTCTGTGTCTGCGTCTGTCCCATGTTTTGCTTTTATTAAGAGAACCTGGTGGATGAATTTGTGTTAAGTCCTCTGTTACATAATTGTGCTTTCCTCGAGTTGAAATATTTTGTGGCGCTCCAAAATATTGTATGTTTTGAGCAAGAACATGGTCTTTTTGTGAGCTTTTTGGTGCGGGGGAGCCACGGAATAGAAAATGATGTTTGTTCTCGGGCGTGGGAACAGCCACGCACCTGCTGCTTCCCGTGGTGGGTCCATTTCCCGTGAAGGTTGTCATTGAGAATTTTGCTTTCTTCTTTTTTTTTAAAATATATTTTATTGATTTTTTACAGAAAGGGAGAGGGATAGAGAGTTAGAAACATCGATGAGAGAGCAACATCGATCAGCTGCCTCCTGCACACCCTCCACTGGGGATGTGCCTGCAACCAAGGCACATGCCCTTGACCGGAATCGAACCCGGGACCCTTCAGTCTGCAGGCCGACGCCCACTGAGCCAAACTGGCAAGAATTTTGCTTTCTTCTGGTGAAAGGTGCCGAGCGTCCCGAGTTCGGTTTTATCATTCATAACAGTGTCCTAGAGGACGCAGGTGCAAAGAGAATCGCCTCTTCCTTGGATTTAAAAATTAACTGCACACAAACTGCACGTTTATTTCAGCTTCCAGAACTCTTGGAAATAATCGAGCCCAAACTCGAGAGGATTGGCTTTAAGAATTTTTCTTCTATCTCAGGTAAAAACAAATCTTTAGACTTATCAAATCTTTGAATAAGAAATGATTTAAAATAAAATTTTAGAGACTGGGATGCATTCTCTTTAGCTGTAAACCCTTAGTTGTTTCTCTGTTGTATGATTATAACGCCCCTCAATGCGAAACCGTGTTGCGTGCTCGCCATTGGACTCGATGTGTTGTTGTACACGCTAAATACCATGGCAGCATTTAAAGTAACAGTCACACCGGCCTGGGTAGCGTGACTGAGCTCAGTCTGTGTGTCACAGCCGCCCTGGAGGACTCGCGGCTGTCCCTGGCGGCCTGCGCGCCCGCCCTCAGTGCCAGGATCGTCCAGGACCTGAGCGAGTCCTGCTTCGGTTCCCTGAAGAGCGCCCTGGAGGTGCCCCGGCTGTACCGAAGGACCAACAAGGTCAGCGCCATGCACTGCGGAGAATTGTGAGGCAGGGAGAGAGGGCAGGAGAGGCGGGAGGGAGGGGAGGAGCAGGCAGAGGCTGAGGGAAGCGGAGGCGCACTCCCTCTCCTCCGAGGAGCTTGGGTTTGGGGGGCGCACCCTCACCAGGAAGCGTGCAGGTGTGTGTGTCTCAGAACGGGGGAGTGACTAGTCTCCTTTGACCTTGAGGTTTGAACAGTGTCCTCTCTCTCTCTCTCTCTCTCTCTCTCTCTCTCTCTCTCTCTCCATCTCTCCATCTCTCACTCCCACCGCCACTCCCCAGGAGGTGCCCACGACAGCCTCCTCTTACGTGGACAGCGCTCTGAGGCCGTGCTACCAACTGCGGAGCGGGCACAAGGACAAGCTCAGGCCCGAGCTGATCCAGCAGTGGCTGGAGGGCGCGCTGTCCGAGAGCACCCACAGGTGAGGGGCCTGGTGTCAGCCGCGCTGGGCTTCCCCAGAGAACCCACCTCCGAGGTTGCCGAGTCCATCAGAGGGCGGCGGGGAGGCCAGGCGGGGAGGCCATCATGTGGCTGCGCCGCTGGACCAAGCAGGGAGGCCCGGCCTCTGCCCAGCTGTGTGGCGGCCGAGCTGTGCTCGCTGCACTCCCCGCCCAAGGCTCTGTCTGTCCTGGCCTCTCCCAGGTCGCACACCTCCAGAGCCCCCGCCCCGCCCCGGGCCTGCCTTTCCTGTCCCAGGTACCACCTCATCCTGTAAGTCCAGTCACAGGTTTCCTGTGAGTCCTTTCTCTCCTCGGCCGTCCATCCAAAATGGCGTTGGTCATGCCACGTGGTCAGAGAGCGTGCAGTGGGGAGACGGTCGGATGAGGAAGAGAAACAATGGCAGCTGAGGAAAGGCGGGGTCCACGCCCCACAGCCCTCGACAGTGCGAGGAGGTCTCAGTCAGGGGGCGGCTCGTTTCTCATTCGTCTGCTCTTCCCAGGTGCCCACCCTGACTGCACTCGAGCCTGTTACTCCGTCTTGTTGTTGAATTTTGTTCAGTTATTGACTTTGCTGTAGGATTATATTTGTTTCAATTACTTATGAGCTAAGTGGCATTTGTGGGTTCATTTCAAACATCACAACGAATTCTAATATGATTTCTATGTAAATGCCAAGTAATCAGCTTGTAAACAGAGCTTTTAAATGTAACATTTCTCATTTGGACGGTATATGGAGACTGTTTGGAAGGCAGTTTTATTTAAAATCTTGAAATGCTTTCACTCTTTAAAAGATGGACTTCCAGAACTGGTTGTAAATGAACTTGCTCCTCCTTGTGGGGAATGAGCTGCAGATGCTCACTCCATGGAAGACAGACAGCGTGGCCCGTGGTTTCCTCAGCGTGGCCAGGACTGAAATGTTGAATAAAATCCATGTACATATTTCTTCAGTTCGGAGGGAATGCAGTGCTAGGCCGTCAATTTTCTTTCAGTTAAAAACATTAAATATTTACCAAGGCTGATTTTTTTTTATTGGAAGTGAATTCTTATCTTAAAAACCTTTTTCCCCCTTTTTTTTGGTCCACGTTGCCAGTTAGTGCGTTTGTGTTCCATCCAGTGTCTGTATCACCCGTAACATGTCTCGTGCTCTAGGTTCTATGAGACCGTGTCCGACGTCCTGCACTCCGTCAAGAAGATGGAGGAGAGCCTGAAGAGGCTCAAACAAGCCCGGAAATCCTCCCCCGCCAACCCCAGCGGGTCCAGCGGCGGCGGCATGAGCGACGACGACAAAATCCGGCTGCAGCTGGCCTTGGACGTGGAGTACTTAGGGGACCAGGTAACCGCGAGCGCGTCCGTTCCAGGGACTCTGGAACCGAGTCCTGGGGTCACCGGGTGGCTCACGTGAGCCCAGAGATGCCGTCGAGGGGCCCGGCAGGCTGTTCCCTCCCGCTGGGAAAAGGGGTCGGGCCCCAAGTCCGTGAAGTCGGAATATTTGCACCCAGGAGTTACGAGAAGGAAGAGATAGGACAACACTGAAATCGAGTTTTCGAAATCCAGTGGGTTGATCTTTTGTGCGTTTGGCATCTGCACGGCCAGCAGTGTTCGTGCCCGAGAAGCCCCAGGGCGGTGCTCACGGGCGTGTCCCCCTGGTCACGGCGTGGAAAGTGCCGATAGGACGTCGGGGCCGGGTCCTGGTCTGTGAGTTTGGCTCCGAGTAACCAGAGCTCTGGCCCCGGGCCCTGTGTGTGATGCTCGAGCACCCGTCTGAGCACAGCGTCCCCGCAGGTGGCAAGCGCAGGCTGTGGAGCGCGGCGCGTGGGTGCCTCTGCCTGCACGTCTCCCTCAGGGGCAGCGGGCTCCGCGCAGGCCTTTCTTTGGAGTCAGAGGCGACCCCTCGAGGGTCATCAAACTTGGATGCTCAGAAAGGGGCCCTTCCCCTGCTCGGAGCGTCAGAGGTGGCGGGTGGCTTTACGGAGCGATTCCTCGGTCGGTCTCTGGAGCCCTCGCTGGGAACAAGGCGTGACGTGGGCATTTCCGTCCGCAGGGCCTGGGGTGCCCACTCCGAGGAGCCTCTCACCTCAGGCGCCCCTGGGACTCGCGTTCTCTGCCCTGAGGCGGGTGAGAGAGAGCCTGGCCCAGTGTGTGGTATGCTGCTGCTTTTTTTTTTCTTTTCTTTTTTTAAAACATATTTATTGATTTTTTTACAGAGAGAAAGGGAGAGGGATAGAGAGTTAGAAACATCGATGAGAGAGAAACATCGATCAGCTGCCTCCTGCACACCCCCCACTGGGGATGTGCCCGCAACCAAGGTACATGCCCTTGACCGGAATCGAACCTGGGACCCTTCAGTCCGCAGGCCGACCTCCATCCACTGAGCCACACCGGTCAGGGCCGTGGTGTACTTTATTGTCCCAGAGAAACTTAGTCCAAGTCTCACAAGCAGGGACGTGGTTATGAAGCCATGAGGAACGAGTCAGCAACAGGAAGAAAGGAGATGGGAGGGGGTGGGGAAGGAAACAGGGAGCCCGTCCCGGTCCCAGAGCGACCTCAGCTCTCCCAAGTCCTGAATGGCCGGCGCGGACCCTCCCGGACCTCACCGTGCGAGGCTGCGGGCCCTGTTGCTGAGCTGCGGTGGGGACTCGCTGTGCCTTCTGTTACCAAAGCAACTCACAGGAGACGCTGTGCCAGAGTGTCTTCAATTCATCGATTCCGAGAAAGGGCTGTGGACAGGTTACGCAATGAAGGCCGGCCTGTCCTTTCTGGAGACTTCTCCCTGGAAAAGCAGCTCATTGATTCTTCCCCAGGGGGGCTTGTCTTTGCCAGCCACCAAAGGCTCTCACCCGCTGGGCTCTGATTGGATGGTTGGGGGTCAACCAACACGCTGGCTTCTTCGAATGCCAAGTGTCTGACCCAGAATGCAGTTTTGCAATAAGTACGTCCTTTGTTCTAGAACAGCGGTTCTCAACCTGTGGGTCGCGACCCCTTTGGGGGTTGAACGACCCTTTCACAGGGGTCGCCTAAGACCATCGGAAAACACATATATAATTACATATTGTTTTTGTGATTCACCACTATGCTTTAATGATGTTCCATTTGTAACAATGAAATTGGGGGTCACCACAACATGAGGAACTGTATGAAAGGGTCGCGGCCCACAGGTTGAGAACCGCTGCTCCAGAAGGAACAAACATGCTGCCGTTCTTCAGGGAGCGGCCTCTCAGCGCGAGGGCGAATGTTCCAGTTGTCACAAGGCTCTTCACATTCCGTATGTCGCAGTGTCTCAACTTGTTCTCGTGGCCTTTGCAGATACAGAAGCTGGGCCTGCACACCGAGGACATCAGAAGCTTCCCGGCCCTCGCAGAGCTGGTGGCTGCCGCCAGGGACCAGGCCACCGCCAGGGACCAGGCCACCGCCAAGGACCAGGCGACCGCCAAGGACCAGGCCACCGTGGAGCAGCCGTAGGCACCGGGGCCCCGGGAGCGGAGAGCTGGGCCTGGAGCCGAAGGAGCTGGACGCACCGAGGACAGGGCTCTGCTCTCTCCCCAGCCTCAGCCTCAGCCTCAGCCCCGCCCCCCAGCCAAGCGCTTCCCGGGCCCAGCACCCGCCCAGCACATCTGGGTCCTCCTTCGCCCAGAAAGAACACTAACGCCTTTTCCGTTGTAGGAAGATCGTTTTTAAGACATTGGACACTTTCTACTATAGTTTACAGAGCAGATCATTTTATTTTTATTGTAAATCTTGGTGAGGAAGAGCTGATTTCTAAACTACAATGGGAGTGAATGTATATGTGCGACTCTAGGAGGGTTCTCCCTGGCCCTGCGCCGGCGGCCTGCGGGCAGCCTCGGAGTGAGCGCACGGACGCGCCTGCTCCCGGGCGCACGGCCTCGGCTCTGCGAGCGGCGGAAGATGCTGGTCCTTCTCCCACCAGGTGCTGGGAACGTGCTGCTCGTCATGCTCTTCCCCGCCCTCTGTCAGGAGCCAGAGCCCTCGGGGGATTTATTTTCTAAATAAAAGAAGTGTCTGCCAAGAGCGCGGCTTTCCTCTGTGAGTCGTTGCAGGTGACTCCTCACTCATGCCCGTGGCTCCTTCCCCTGGGCCAGGGCCTCTCGCGCCTGTGGGGAGGCTCCCCTCCATCATAGATGGCCCTGCAGACGTGGGAGTGGTCCATGGAAGGTGACACCCCTACAGGAGCCAGCACCGCCAGCCCTCCTGACGAGCTGACCCCGGGGTGGGGGTCAGGGTGGGGTGCTGAGGGGCAGAGAGCTGGGAATGTTGGGAAAGGACCCACAGCGGGTGGGAGGTCTGCTGACCCACACCTGACACGCACCTGCACACTTGTGCTGAGCCGTGGCATCTGTCCTTCAGCTCAACAGTGGCAGGAAGCAGGTGTGCAGGGTCCTTGGCCCCGGGGGGACGGGGCAGACCTGCCACAGGAGCCACACCTGTTCAGGTTGGGTTTTGCTGCCAAACGAGAAACAAAAATCGTCCGGTTTTCTAAACTCGGTAAAGGGTGTGGGGTCTGGTGACTTCTCGGGGCCCTGGGACGCCCCTGCCACCTGGGCTCCTGGGCTCCTGGGCTCCTGCCCGAGTCTCTGATGAGGTGACTGTTGCTGAGAAAGCGCCTCATCTACCGGACACACACTGGGCAGCCCAGGAGGACTGGGAGGCAGTGGAGAAATGTTTTAAGAAAAACAAACCCTTGGGCCCAGCCAGTGTGGTTCAGTGGTTGAGCATCTCGATTCCCGGTCGGTGCACATGTCCAGGTTGCAGGCTCCATCCCCACTGGGGGGCGTGCAGGAGGCAGCCGATCCATGATTCTCATCATTGATGTTTCCATCTATTCCCTCTCCCTTCCTCTCTGAAATCAATTTTTAAAAAATTAAAAAGGAAAAAAGCAAACCCTTAGAATGAAGACGTCTGTGCTAAGTCATCTGCGAGATGTTGGGTTTTGTATCCTTGGAACGTCCTGACCCAAATTCCCGCTCATAGAAATTCTGGGCACAGAGACCAGCGGTCGGTTGGCAGCGCCTTCCTCCTGGCAACGCCGGGGCACAGCGCCCGCTGGGCAGAGACCTGTTGGTCATTCACAGCGTCCCCTCCCGCTGGCTGCGCCGCCGCGGTGCCAGCTCACATGCTGTCACCCAGGGCGACTTCAGGACGGCCTCCCAGGTGGCAACACAGGCTCCCTGCGGCGGCCCCACACCCAGCACAAAGCCGGGCACTCAGCGGGCACCTCCGAGTGTACAGCACCAAGAGGGAACCTGATGTGCCCGGCCGGCGTGGCTCAGGGGTTGAGTGTCGACCTATGAACCGGGAGGTCGAGGTTCGATTCCCGGTCAGGGCACAGGCCCGGGTTGTGGGCTCGATCCCCAGGGTGGGGCGTGCAAGAGGCAGCCGATCCATGATTCTCTCTCATCATGGATGTTTCTACCTCTCTCTCCCTCTTCCTCTCTGAAATCAATACAAATATATTTTTAAAAAATACAGAAAAACAACTTTCCCAATTTATAAGTAAGGGGGCGGGCTGAGAGGCGGGTCACTGCTGGTCACTGCGCTGGGTCACAGCCCCGCTCCGTCTCTGAGCACCGCCGTGCTGCCCTGGGCGCCTGGCACAGCAGGGACAGCCTGGTCAGATCCGCTCACACCATGGGGGGAGGTGGGGGGACACTGCTGAGGTTGGAGGACGTCGCTGCTGCTCTGTGGGGCCCGGGCCTTAGAGGAGCAGACGGGCCACCTGCCCTCGTGCACCTCTGGGCGACTCCACCCCTTAAGTGTGGCTTCGATGGCCCAGCAGAGGCGCGGGCGAGGCCTGGGCACCCGTGGGCAGGGCAGTCACCTACAAGCAGCACTCGGACCCTTTGCCCCACAGATGCCAGCACATACGGGAAGGCTCCTGGTCAGCTCTGAAGCCGGCCACCCGGCTCCCACCCCGTGCTCCCAGCCCACCCCGAGCTCCCAGCCCCACCCCGTGCTCCCAGCCCCACCCGAGCTCCCACCCCCACCCCAAGCTCCCACCCCCACCCTGAGCTCCCAGCCCCCTCTGTCCCTATTGTCATGTCTCCTTAGCCCTCACGGTGGCTGTGGCTCACCTCGCCTATGAGCTACTCAGCATTTTTTTAAAATATGTTTTTATTAATTTTAGAGAGAGAGAGAGAGAAAGGAAGAGGGAGAGAGGATCATGGACCCGGCTGCCTCCCACATGCCCCACACTGGGGATCCAGCTTGCCAGTCAGGCATGTGTCCTGACCGGGAATCGAACCGTGACCTCCTGGTTCCTAGGTCAATGCTCAACCACTGAGCCAGACGGGCCAGGCTGAGCTGGTTGGTGTTGATGGGAGGGAGGAAGGAAGTGCTCTCCGTATCTCGGCAGCGTCCGGTATTGGGGAGCAGCAAGGGCCTGCCCGGCGCCCACCCCCTCCTCAGGCTCTGCCCAGGATTTAGCAGGTGGAGGGGGGGTGCTGACCCCGAGGAGGGCAGGCAGGGACACCCAACAGACATAGGAAATGGGCAGTGACGGGATCTCGCTCTCCTGCTCCCGGGCACAGTGAGTGACAGCCTGACCTGAGTCCCAGGATGAGGCTCCCGTCTGCCCCGCCCCTTCCCAGCCTCCCAGGCCGCCCCCCAGGCCGCTTGTCCAGCACACAGACGGTCACTGCCTGTAGGAAGGAAGGTCCAGAAAACATCACCTTCAATTTCTTCAAAGGATGGCTCCCTGCAGGCCCCGCCTCCCATGGGAATGCCGTCCAAACTATGGCTCAGAGCCAGGCTAGGTTTCTCAGTGGTTAGAGCACCGTCCCAATACACCAAGGTTATGGGTTCGATCCCCGGTCAGGGCACTTACAAGAACCAACCATGAATGCGGAAATACGTGGAACAATAAATCAGTCTCTCTCTCTCTCTCTCTCTCTCTCTCTCTCTCAAACCAATTTAAAACATTTAAAAAAGAGAGAAAAGAAAAAAACAAAACAAAATATGACTCCGAGCCCCTGTGTGTCTGCTCAGTGACTCATATTCGTTCTGTTCGGTGAAAGAGAGAATCTTCCCTTTTTGCTTTTTGTTGTAAGACATTTATTAGTAACAGGATAACCAGCCACGGGGTGACATTCTAACAAATTCAAAACCCCCCACGCACGTGGGAGAGAAAAACGGGGAAACCAAGAAGGATGCGGGCGTGTGGCACGTGCGTGCAGGTCGCGGCTCCCCTTCCACACGCTGCACACACCCAGGGCCGCGGAGGGCGGGGGTCTTACTCTTAAAGCCCAGTTTCCGTTCCCAGTGAAAGAGGAAGCGATGATCGCTTCCACACGCAGGCCGGTCTGTGCAAACTCTTTCCGGAACAGTCGCCCTGAGCTGAACGCTGGTTCTTAGGACCCCCATCCCCTCGGGGCTCCCCCTAAACCTGAGGCCCGGAGGCTGCTGCGCCCCAGAGAAAGGCTGCTCTCGGCTCCCGGCTGGCTCAGGGGAATACAAAGGGGAGGACGGTGCTGACAAACGCGTGCTGCTGGGGGCCGGGGCGGTGGCCAGGTGCCCGTGGCCGGCCTCATGCCATGCTCAGCGGGTTGGCCACGCGGCCCAGGAAGTGCAGGGCGGTGGAGTCTTGATCCTGGATGGCGAACAGGAACGGCCGGTCCAAGGTCACTTCCAGGGCCTCGGGCCCCGTCGGCTGCGGGGCTGGCTCCGTGGGCTGCTCCCCCTTCTCTGCTTTGAGTTCAAACAGGACGCTGTTGAGCACCTGCAAAGCGGCAAGCGTTGGGGTCGCTCCTGGAAGCACCACGGGGCCCGCGGGCGGGGGGCGGGGGGACACGGTCCCAGCCTGCGAGACAGTGCACGGTGCCTGCACCCCCTTGACGACTCTCGCTCAGAGCGACACGGCGGCTCCTCCCCAGAGGGCCCCTCGGACCCGCCTGTCTCCCCCTTCCACCTGGCTGTCCCTGAGGAACCCCCGGCCACCCGTGCGTGGGTGACCCCACTCTTCATTTTTATTTCTTTTCTTTATTTTTATTTGTTTGTTTAATCTGCATCTGAAGATATTATTCCATTGATTTTTAGAGAGAGTGGAAGAAAGAGGGAAAGACAGAGAGAAACATCGATGTGAGAGAAACACATGGATTGGTTGCCTCCTGCAAGCGCCCCACCCAACCAGGGCTGGGATCGAGCCTGCAACCAAGGTACGTGCCCTTGATCGGAATCGAACCCGGGACCCTTCAGTCCAAGGGCCAACGCTCTATCCACTGAGCGGCACCGGCCAGGTCTGACCCCAGTCATTTAGCACAGACGGCTCCTGCCCCAACAGCCGTCTCTGAGGCCAGGACTGGGCGTGACCCCGTTTGTCCGCAGCACCGAGCACCGAGCCTGAGCACACAGGCCCCTTCCCATGGCCGAGGAGCATTGTCCCCTGTGGCTGGGGGACCCTCTGTCCCCTGTGGGGCGCTTCCTGGAAGGCAGGAGCTGTCCCACGGCCGGCCCTGGGCTGGGGGACACCCTCCTGGTCTGGACTCTGCTGTAGGGAGGAGCCCCGGCCAGCCCAGGCGGGGCAGAGCCACCAGCAGGGGGTGGGAGGGGTTGCTGCTCTCCACCCACCTCTGCACAGGCCCAGAAAGCGCTGGTCACATCTCCCCACCTGGGCACACCCGCCTGGCCACGCCTCCTTTCCCTCCGGCCCGCCCACCTTCCAGAAGCTTCCTCTCTGTCGCTTCTATGGACACCCCAGACCCCCGGAGCCAACAGACCCAGCGGGCAGGGCCGCCCGTACCTGCCCGACTCGGAGGTGGCCGTCGCTGATCCTGCCCAGGCTCGCCTCGGCGCCCAGCAGGGTGGCCAGCTTGGCCTGGGCCAGCAGGTCCTGCAGGTCGTAGGAGCCTCGCAGCGCCAGCTGTGGCATCGTCAGGCGCATGGCCCTGCGGGGGGGACCCAGGTTAGGTGGCCCGGGGGCTCCCACCATGCGGCTGGGCCCCACGGAGCAGGTGCTGGAGACCCGGGAAGGCGGCCGGCACGTGTCCCTGCTGGAGGGGGCGCTCACCCCCACCCAGAGCTTGTCCTGTGTCCCTG